AGTAATAACGAGGAAAAAAGCAGTTTCCTTGAAAATCCTAAGTCACAAGGGGTGAATGCATCTGCGCTAGCTATTGAGAACGATGAGTTTAAGCCATATCACCAATTGTCTCCAGCCATTGGTTTTTACCGTCCCGAGGACCCCAACCAGGAAGTCTACATCTTCCAGCGTAGTTAGCTTAGACTAACTGTTGTAGATTTCATTGACTGGTGCTGTGTTTTGGTTTGACCGCCGCTAGCCCCTTTTCCACCCTAACCATATATCGGGTAACATTGCCCGTCGTCGAGGAAGGTGATAACTAGGCATATGTAACATATGTACTAACCATCTCAGTCGATCTAACTCTTTGGCTATCCCGAAAAATTTATCAAGGTACACATGACAAAGAAAGCGGAAAAGGACTATTCTCTGTCTGTAAAAAAAGAAGCCTCTTTATATACGACTAAAATTCATGGGCGATATACCAAGCGAGATAACTGCAAAGAAATTAAGAAAATCAGTTCCAAGAACTTTTAATGCTGGCAAACTACACGTATTATTCTCTATACGACCGATGGTGATTCCTCGACTGGAATATGAAGCACCTAGACTAGCCACTTCAAATTGTATCTATCAATTCAACTGCGCTTGTTGAGCGAGTTATATTGGCCGTTACTCTAGGAACTTGATTTTTCGTGCTCTCGTGAGAACATCTCCCACTATGGCTAAGTAAAGGTTAGTGAAAACCATTCACAGCTCGATATTGGACCATCTGGTGCAAACCAGCCGGCCACAAAGCCAGCGTAGAAGAATCCTTCTCTATAAAATATCGGGTGCCTAATAAATTGCCAAAAACATCGAGGTACCCTATACTCTGAACAGCAGAGGCTATTGCGATTCGCCTCAAACAACCAGCGCTCTGTGTTCAAAAGAAGCAAGTACAGTCAGCCCCCACTACTGCCTTGGCCGGCCTTCAATCGAAACTATGAACTCATGAATTTGTAATATTATCTTTCCTAATTTCTCTGTCTGACATTCAGTTTATTGTTATGTTGATGCTATTGAGCTGTAATCTATTCATATTACTGATTCGATGTTATTTAAACAGCAGCATTAATGTTGTTCATAACACTAATTCATTCATTCACTAATATGGATGGATACATAACTGTAGAGCCTGATGATGAAGGGGTTATCGAAAAGAGTACTCTTTGTTCAGTATCCATTCTTTTGAAAATTTTAATGGGCATTTTTAATCAGTTAAATACTGAAGCGTTTTTAATGAAAAAAATAGAAACTTTTTTGAATAAATTAACTCAATGAAATCTCTAATCTAATAGTTTGAAAATTATTGAATATTTGTTTTGATGGGATGCCTAAAATTGCGCTTTGACAAGCGAATATATAAAGCAGTCTTAAGTGCAGTTTAATCAATACAATTTATAAGTAATAATTAACGATTTTCTTTAAAAATAATCCAGATAATTAGCTGCTTCTTAGAAGTTTATTTATTTGCGTTGTTAATGATTTAATTATATTTTTCATTATGCTTATAAGAGAGAGAGAGATGTGACTAAGTGTCATCGAAACAGCAAACTCTTAGCGGTTAACTGCTTCAGGTTTACTTCCCTGTGCAACCATTTCAGCCTTGATAATTATTGCTCCACTAGTTTGTGCACCGAGCAGAAAATAAGGTTTGAAGCCTTGAAAATTTAGTAGGCATAACATTGATTTTACAGAATGAGTAAAAAGGTAAGGAGGGTAAATCAGCAGAGGGTATTCGATTCTATCGACTGATAGGTACTCTGGCGATGTTTGGCTGTGAATGGATTGCCGAGAAGTTAGATCGCATCGAACTCATGCAACCATCCAGGAGAAGGCTTACTATAAGTTGTCGTCTAAACTGGTGAGAACTAGTGGTGTCCATCAGGAATGCCTACTATCCCAATTTCTATCCGATTTCATCATACATGTACTGATGACACAGGATCGGTCAGGTTAGAAAAGAGCTAGTGTTGGTCAAACTAAAACATGGCCTCATCAATTAATGAAGAAATTCACAACAGTCAGCCACGTAGGAAGATTTAGACTTCCTGATTGGTTGGGGTTTTTGGGATGGTAAACACTAATGTAGGCTGAAGGCAATTATCGGTGATATGGCTCAAACTCATCGTTGTCAATGGCTAGCCAAGATGCATCCACTCCTAGTGACTTATAATTTCCAATGAAACTATATTTTTCTTCGATATTACTATTCTTTTCGCCTTATATCCGGTCTGCTGTCTTTATTATGCATTTCTTCCACTTTCTTCTGTGTCTCTGTGTGCTGAATGAAGTGTGGCAACTCGAACTGGTGCACCTTGGTGCAAAGTTCTATGTTAAAATCAATCAGTCAATTCACTGTATCAAAAACAGCTCACACATATTCCTCATTACTCCAATAGTAGATTACAATACCTTTTTATTGGACACTAGTAACTAGTGTGACGTGTCTAGTCCTTCCTTTGGTGCAGATTAAATTCTATCTGTCAGGTTTTGAAATGTGGCCACCATTCTATGTAAATTACCGTCACGGTGCACTTTGATTTGATGATATTGTGATGAGAGCAGGCTGCTAGCCAATTGGTAGACATTAATCGACGCTGATTGATAGACATTTATCTAGGCTGATTCAAACAACCAATCACAGCAGACTTAAAATTGGGCAAATACGATTCGCAGATAAATGGCTCTACTTTCCGAGAAATATCGAAAACAACCAATCAGAAGACTGTGTTTGTCCGCTTAACTTCCTAGAAACAACCAATTAGAATACTGTCTTTTTCTGCTTGCATAAGCCTTATTAATGTACATAAAATATATATAAATGCGCGTTGATTTTCGTAATAAAACGATCTGTTGCCTGGCCTTTGTCTCCTGTTGTTACGATATTAGATAGTTGTAGGCAGGAAGCCTTGGACCCAGGTTTCGTGCTAGTTGGCACTCAATGGTCAGCAAGGCGTATCTGCAAACTTGAAGGAACCTTTTTTATAGTAATATGATCGTAGAGTCCTTTTGAAATGACTTCATCGATGATTTTTAATCATTCAAAACCGTTTTATTTCAACTTGAATATTTTGATTATGAATAATAAATGGCATATAAAACTACCATTTCAAGGTTCCACATACTCCATAGAGTACACATAAAGGTAGGGTGAAAGAGTTCAAAACAACTATTACAAGCGGAAATCTATTAAAGAAGGTGTAATTACATAGGCAAACATGAGGAATAAATGAATATGAGAGATCGTGGTTTCAAACCAAATCAAAAGCAGTCTACAAATATTAATTCTAAGCATCTTGACAACTCTACCGCATCAAAATACACCTATCTTTGTGTCTTGAACCAACAGTTAAACTTTATAGATTAATGCCATCTATTTGTCTGACTCTAAATCCATTTTCAACTTAATCCTAGATCAACCAACATTAACGAAATCAGGAGGCTGAGTATGCATAACCCATTTTCAAGTCACTAAAATTGATACTGCTTGAAAATTTTGTCAACTAACTCTCCTGTTTGGCTGGGGAGACAGAACACAAACATTCATGGTAAACGATATCTATCCTTCTCATATGTTTCACTTTAATTAACAATAACTTACAGTCATTAAGAAGGGCAAAACGAACTACCACACAGTACACGTTTTCAGACCAAGTCGATTTTCAGCAGTTCATTAATTCTTCATATTCACACACAGATTGTACTTTTAAATGTTGATAATTATTCACACTTTGTAATACAAGGCTTTTTTTCCATTCCTCGCCTTGCCTATGCGATAAAGAACTTCAAGCTTTTGAAGTTTTTTGATTGACAGTTTTACTTTCTTATAGGATACAGTTGTTAGTGTCTTCATTTTCCAAAACCTTCATTTCTCCCGCCACTCTTCGCAGTCCCTTCACTTCCAGGATAACTGTCTGGTAACAAACTAGGCAAGTTTTAGGAGTGCATTTGCTTGTATTACTATTATCCACTAAATGTAATAGTAATATTCAAATATTGGTTTTATAGAGATTGTGTTTGGTTGGTTGGAGAGTTTCACCATGACCTGACACCAGTTGGTTAAGGAACCATTGGAAAACCTACGGGGAATACTGGACAACCGTTTCGTAATAGTAATGTAAAGGTGAGCGATTTCACATGGATAAAGTTGAAAAGTTCAAGCCATTAGATCAGACATATAATATGAAGAATCATATCTATTCAATATTTAATGCTTGACTTAAGAGCTCATAAATGTTTACCAAGAACTTCTAATAATTTCAAATTTTTTGATTACATCTTGATTCCACACCGTATTTTTGGTACAAGTATGGAATTTTCAGCATGTGATATCGGTAGCCCAAATTTTGCAGGCCTACCATAGATATCAGGTGTGCATCGGCAGGGGATCTAACCCCTGACCATGTGCATGGTTGGCGAGAGTCCTAACCACTGTGCCACCGGAGCCTATCCGTATTTCCTTTGTGCATCGACTTCATAATGGTAGAATGCTCATCAGTGACGCTAAATGTCGTTTGGGGTTCGATTCCCGACCACCGACTCATTCATTTATCACTCTAAGCCACTAATAAGACTGGTAAAAAAAACAAGGTTGTGGGGCATGTAGCTCCAAATCCCAAACCGTAAAAATAAGCACCTTTGCTACTGAAACTTCGTAGCTGTATTAGATAGTTGCAGGCAATCGGACACGGGAAGCCTTGGCTTACCTAGGTTTCGTGCTGGTCGGCATTCACCGGTCAGCCCATAGTATCTGCAACCATGAAGGAACTCATGTCCCTTCTAACCTGCGTCGGTCAGTGTTGCAGTTAGTCTGCGTCGAAGAAAGGACTAGACACATCACACTAGTTACTAGTCTCCAATCAAATTATCTTCATAGCTCTAGCTTCGAAGCGCCCTATATTCCACTGGGAATGTAAAGGAATTAAATCACAATAAAATAAATGTTTCTTATGTATGTACATACTATAGGTACTTACTTTGGATATTGCACTTCTCAGTAGTTGATAAAAATAAGTAGTATCTCCTGCTTCTGAAAGTGGTGCACCATAATCATAACTTGTTATATGTGTAGCAAATGGATTACGTACAGCACCATTCCATAAGCCGAAATTTGTACCACCATGGAACATATGTCTAAAAATATATTTTAAGAAAGAATCAAAATATTCAGTTTTCAAGTATTGATTTTGTAAGCAATTTTGTTTGATTGGTTGGAGGATTTCATCACGAACTGATATCAGTTAGAGAACAGTTGGAAAACCTGGGGGTACTGAACAGCCGTTTCGTCCCGGTTTATGACCCTTCAGAAGTACGCACCCACCTCCAAGGCTTGAACCCAGGACCTTCTGGTTTCAAGGTTAGCTCGTAAACCATTAAGCCACTGGGACCTGATTCGATCCGATGACCAGTCAGTCGATGAATTCTGTCCTCTCCCAAACAATTCATGACACTGAGCGATCACTTCGCGACGTCTTCGTCGATGAGTTACTGCTTTATTTTCAACCTGCTGCACCCTACTGAACACGGTTTCCCACTAGACTCCCAGGGCACTGCCTAAATAAGCCAGTCGTTAGTGAGCATTAAATGAATTTTTAAGGGTTTCATTTTTCATTGGTTGGAGGATATCATCGTGAGCTGATATCAGTGAGAAAACCATTCGAAAACCATCTGTGAGTACTGGACAGCGCCTTCGTCAGTTTAGTTTGGGGCTCTTTGTCACTACGCAGTAAATCACCAAAGAAGATATTGTGAAGTGTTCGCTCTATTTCATCAATTGGCAGAAGTTAGAATTCATGGGTTGGGAATCGAATCGGGTCAGGTCTTATTGGCTGAATGATCTACGAGCTAGCTCACCTTGTAACCAGAAGGTCCTGTGTTAGAACCGTGGTGGTGAGCGCGCACTGCTCAAGAGTTAGTCCCAAAATAGACTGACGAGAATACTGTCCAGAACTCACAGTTGGTTTTCCAATGGTTCTCTAGCTGATGTCATCTCATGATGAAATCCTCCAACCAATTTTTAGCTTTTTTAATTGATGATTAAAATTCGGTGTCGGTTCATAGAGCTATGAACTTTTTTTAAATTTTTGGATGATGTATAGCAGTGTAAATACAGAATATGCATTTGGTCCTATTTACAACTTGTTATTTGAATGTAAGTACAATCCTCAGTGAGTGATATTGTTCCTACAAAGATTGAAAGCCAACTGACTAGCTCCAAAGAGGATAAAATAAGCATTCTTAGACTTCAATTCGTGTCCATTATCCATCAAATAACTCGTGTCCACATGCTAACACTAAGACATCGTCAAAACGTTCAACATGTCAACAAAGACTGCACATTTTGATCTAATATAGGTGAATCAATGGGATATACACACACTCAGGAATAACAGTGATTTTTTCAGAATAAGATGGTAGTGTGGCTTATGCTACTAGTAAGGTTTATCAGTAGTATATATATATTAGAGATATTCATCGACCGGCATAAAAACATCAAATAGCAAGGAGACAGATTTGATTACAGAGAAAGCAAATGATACAGAGTTGTGGAGATACATGTCAGACGTGAAAGCAACGCAAAGAAATATAATGTGAAAGATAGAAGCGTCACAACATTGAAGATATGTGCAAATGGTGATTTGAAGATAAGGTGTACATAATTTCACTATATAGACTGCAATCCTTGCCTGATTTTTTAGTCATCTACCGTTACAGTAACATCGTTTATTTCGTTGAGTTCTCATCATCTGCATAGAGCATACGTAAATGCTTATTCTTTATGTCAAGAACAATTTTAAACATACTTGCAAATTTCACATGATGTCAGTTGACGGAAGGTTCCAAACTTAATGAACAGTGCTCAGAAAATTACGCCTATATAGCTTTTACCTATATTTCATGGGAACAAGTGCTGACAATAGTGTCACTGTCAGGCATCTCCTTGATACGGGTCATGGGGTAGACATGAAAAATCCTTTAAAATTATTAGTAGACAGAAAAGCTTAATTCTCTTCAAGTTTACCGAAGCAATCTCTACCAAATAGTTGGTGGCACAGTGGTTAGGACTCTCGCCAACCATGCACATGGTCTGGGGTTTGAGCCCACGCCGGCGCACACCTGATATCTATGGTTGGCCTGCAAAAATTTGGGCTACCGATATCCATACTGAAAATTCCATACTTGTACCAAAATACAGTGTGGAATCAAGCTGTAAATCAAAAATAAAAAAAAATAATAAAGAATAGTTTTTCCTTACCCCCCCTTCTTGATAACTGAATATCTTTACTCTCTCATTTGATTATACAATCTCTGGCTTTAAACCCACCCACCTCCTTTGACATAACATAATTCTACTTGCGTATTTTTCTTGATGATTTGAGTTGAACTCAGTAGATTGCTACCGAATTTATTAGTTACCCATTATCTTGCCTGCCTCTCGTCCTTATTACGTAACTCCTTTACCATTTTATGCTCACGCTTTCTTTGTTTAAGCTTGAATCCCCTGTGTAAAAAACTATATAAGCGTAATTTTCTGAACACTGTTCACTAATCTTTGTCAACTGACAACATGTAAAATTTGCAAGTTTGTTAAAACTTTTCCGTACATGACCTTAATAATAATAATTTATTTAGGCTGTAAGTCAACGAAATTAATGATGGTACCATATTATTCTACAGAAACTGTTGTTCTTGCCTTAATTAAATTCATAAAAGAGAATAAATGTATAAGGGAAAATCACTTATAATTGACTACACGACTGACTACAAGCTCGCACTTCTTCCTTATATCAATTTCTCTATATCAACCCCGACGATTACCAGTAAAGTTCAGTGCTAATGTCTCTGACTGCAGCACGGGGCGAGACGGTTTTCAATTTCAGAAGGGACAAGAAAGACTGGTGAGTGCCAGATAGCACAAGACTTTGGTCAGGTAAGGCTTCCATTGGCCACTTGCCACCAACCATCCAAATACCAACAATTCACAGCTCACCGTGGTGGCGAGTCCTCAGTGGCATAGTGGCCACATTGCAAACTTGACAGACTGGATAGAATCCAGTCTAAAACAAAGATAGGAGTAGACACACACACACACATATTACACTATTTACTGAGTAGTGTTCAACCAAAAATAGAGGAATAAATGTATTCAGGGGAAATATACAATTAAATTAATCAATTTTCTAAACTATTTGTCTCAGTTATATATGATAATCTTAGTTTTCTGCCTTCAGGCTGTATAAACACCATCAACTTTGTTTGAGAATTGATTAGATTGATATAAGGGAATTCGTATTATTTCGTCACCTTTTATTCTACGGTCAAACCTACTTTTTTCCCTAAAATATTTTACAGAGTTATACAGCATTTGATCAAAATAGCTGTGTGTGTCTTGATTTATACTCTTCGTATTTTATTACGAAAACAGAATGTCATGATCTCATAGAGTATTTTGATAGTTTGTCTTTATGAATTTGACGACGGATTGATATCAGTTGGAGAAACATTGAAAATCAACCAGAGAGTACTGGAATACAGCTGTTCCATCATAGTTTGGGAATCATAGTCATTATGCACCCACCACAGGGGTTCGAAGCCAAGACCTTCCGGTTACAATACAGGCTAGCTCGTATACCATTCAGCTACCAGAAACCCGATTCTAACTTCTACCAATTCGTGATACATTTAGTGCGACTGGCACCGACCAATGTCATCGGTCGGACATCCGTCCTCGCACTTGACATTTGGATGGACCTAACTGGTCAAGAGTTCTCACTAGAATAAGGTCCAAGCAACTTCGTCTAACAGCAAGTCACTAGTGAGCATCTGATTAATTTTCAATAGTTGGTTTATAAGGATTAAATTTGTTTATGCGAGTTTGACCATGGATTGATATCAATTAGACAACCATTGAAAATCAGCATCAGAGTAGTGGACAGTTGTTTCATCCTAGTTTGAGAATCATTTGGCAGGAATTATCGGTCGTGCTAAATCATAAATTGGTAGAATTTAAAATTCATATGCTGGCTGGCCTTTGAATCGGGTCGGGTCCCATTGGTTGAATGGTATACGAGCTAGCTTTCCTTGTAATCCGAAGGTCATAGGCTCGAATTCCGGTGGTGAGTGCATACTGCCAACGATTCTCAAACTAGGATGAAACAGCTGTCTAACAGGACTCCTTGGCTGATTTTTAATGGTTCTCTAACTGACATAAATCCGTGGTCAAACTCATAAAGACATTAGATAAAATTCATCATCAACATTTCGAAATAGTAGACAGTATATGCAGCTAAGGTGTATGATTTTGGTATTTTTGTCTTCGTTGAGATAGATATTTTTGCTAGGAAAGCTTTTATTGTCCTTGACAAAGGGGTAACGTCTTCAGTTCTAACTTGAATATGATCACTGAGTGTTTCACATTTATGTTAGTTGGTATTAGCGATAAATTGGCTAGATAAGAAGTAGAGCCTATACGATTAAAACAATCAGCTCAGAGAATATAACAGTCACAATATCGTTTTTTATACTGTCTCTACCGTATTTCATTTATTATACAATATCTCGTCAAATTTCCGAACATCACCCTGGACCAGTGGTTAAGCAAAGGACAAACAAAATCTATTCACACAACGCTATTCTGTCTGATCTTGTGGATATAGAACACAAGATTGACGTTAACCATGCTCTCAGGGTTACTTACCGCATACCAACGAATCTCAATTTTGTCTTAAGAGTTCGACTACTAAATATTGCTGAGGCTGGCTGTTGGAATCCATATTAACAAGCCTAATTTGTGCATCCAAAAGAAGTTAGTTCAGACATTATCCTTACCGCTTGGCCATCTAGGTTTGAATAATCCTGAATTTTGCGGAATTTTCCTAATTTTAGTTGATATTCTATTTGCTATTATATCTTTATTATTATTATAATTTAAGCATATTTCTTGAACTGTAATTCCATCGTGAACTTACTTTACAAATCAATATTATTTAAAGAACACTAATATTGCTATTGACTACTAATCTGGAGTATTCTACGTATATGACCATATGCCTATATAATTTTTTTTATTTACAGCTTGATTCCACACCATATGTTTGGTACAAGTATGGAATTTTCAGCATGGATATCGGTAG